GCCCACCCGATATAGTGAAATTTATAGTACGATAATGCATGTATCCAATAAGATTTCTAAAGTTTGAAAAAGTCTATCAAAAACTTCTTACATATAATTATTCAGCAACATGAATAACACCCGCATTTTCAAATGATTAATAAAAATAAATGGTGATGTGTGATGAGGGTTTGAATTTTTTACGGGGAGGGAAAACTTGGGTGTAAAATAATCGAGTACCTCTCAGGTTAAATTTCCTAAAATGCAAATGATATTTGAATATATTCTGTCATGGCTCGAGAGCATGGTAATTTGCTATAATATATTCATTAATATGTAGTCGAAGATTATTCCTATTACGGATAATTAAACGATCGAGTAGTAAAAATCCAGTGCTGAAATAATGATATAATGAGCGAAACAAATATCCTATTTCGGTTTGTGCTTCTTCCTTCATGACCGGAAGATACAGTAATAATATCCGCACACCGAAAAGCTCTCAATGTCAATAGATACTATAGCACATGCCTTCCTGTACAATTCCTGCTGTAAAGCGGCTGCTCCCTGCCCCGACCCTGCTGCTAATCAGCTTTCCGGGTGTAAACGGCGCCTATACGTCTCCGAATGTTGACAGTGTTGAGGTATGTTAGGATGCAATTAAGAGGGATGATCTGACTAAGTCGATTTACCGGGCGCGATTTATGTTGATGGAGTAGTGGTAAAGTCCTAAAATTTTGTGTACATATTTACGAATGTTTATATTTTATTAGACAATGTAACGCTAAAATCTACCCTCACAAAATTTTGAACAAAGCGAATTAATTTCAGTATTATTATTGTTATTATCGTTTGTCGGTTTCCAAATTTTTATATAATGGAATTAAAATGAAAGTGTTGGTACTAGAGACTTCCTATAGAAGTCATGCTACGTTCTAAGTAAACGAAGAGGTTTAATAATATAATACCACATTCGATTTATCGAACTTAATCATGTGTAAGGAATATGCATTAATTATAGCATTCGCCTACGGAACACATGTAAAAATAAAATGAAAGTTGGTAAAGACATGTTGGGAAAAATTTCCCAACCTGGCTACTTTGAAATTACAACGAAGAAGTAGAGCCTACTCTGTCTATATAAGACAGAGGCGCAGCTCTCAAAAAGAAGCTACGTTAAATCTTTACTTATCTAATGAAGTTATCCGCCGTCCTAACTGTTCCATTGGTCTTGATTATGCGCCACATTTCTTCTCGTGTATAACTAATGGTTTTATTTTGTTGTGCACAACCCTTGCCGAGTTACTGATTTATTTTGGGTGCATGCTTTTGTCACCTCCTTTGAACACTTTGGCAGGCCCGTCAGGCTCTGTGATAATTATCTATTAAAACATTAAATGCCTAACGTGAAACTAAACTTACTTGATCAATACCTTAAATTCTTAACTATTAATCTTTGTTTGGCGGGTCCCATTAAATCTTCAACTTAACCATAACTTCTCTTTAACTTTAATGCCGAAATGTTCACTTCTCTCGTGGTGTTTATTAACTTTGTGGAACAGTGGCGACCAATAAATTTAAATAATTGTGAGCAGTATTGTCGAGTAAATTTACCGATAAAATTTATGCCACATTAAATGTAATGAACATTAATTTAGGCAGTGAAATATTATTGTATAATTAATTTCCGCCTATGTTTGTTTCTTTTGTAACATCATGTTCAAATGTGCTACGTTGATTCATAAATGTCTTTTGATATTTGAATGCAATATGTCATGTTCTACTCTATACTTTTTCTACCATTTTACCAATAAGGTAATGTATGTTATCTACTCAATTGCATTAACTGTAAAAGTAATGAATTGATGTATTGAGATATCCAAGTGATTTCGAACGGTAGATTTAATCTTTAAAAGTAGATTAAACTGTAACATTTCTTTATTGTACAGTCATGAGTAGATACAGCCGTCAAAGACTGGCAGTTCATTTGCATCTCGAAGAGTTCAACGTGCCATACTGAATGCTGACTCGATTTATTGAAGACAATCAGTAATTTTTTTTCTCCCTCTGAATGGTCGAGAAATATATTTTTTAGCGACCCTCATTCTTTGCAACGATGTCAATACCCTGCGTGTATTGAGCAGATAATTTTCTTATGAGGATGTAATGTATTTACAATTACGTTGCTTCTTTATTTCGTTGCTATTATTATTCGTTGCACTATTAATAAACGTGTTTTCTTGAAAACAACAACGTGCATTATACTATAAAAAGGTGAATTGTTTGAGTTGAATATACAATTTCTGTGATTATGTTGATTGCGCTAAGTTATTAACTAACTTGTCTAACGCTTGATCATGTTGTGCGAAATTTTTATATTTTCATAATGCTTGCCTTAACGCCGACCATTGATCCCGTAATCCATGTAAAGAATTCGACCTCATTCACCGACACTTTCTTTTGCTATAAACGCAAAGAATTAAATGACGATGCAAGCAGAAAATCTGCTGACATTGCGAAATTGTCTGTTCGAAATCGCTATGTAAGCGAGATATATTAGCGCTCAGCGATGGCAATTAATGAGATCTTTAATAAGACTAGCGATCTAATTAAAGCACATAGCAATAGCACGGTTCTTATAGTTCATTCTTGATGAGACTTGCCAAGTGCAAGAGATATCGTGATATAATCAATAATGATGAGATTATTTTAACCCCATGTCACTGAGATCATTCAAGTGGACGAACCGAAGTTAAAAGTTGATAACTTTCCTGTTAAATTGCTCGTGTATGTATCTTCATTTTGCCACTAATTCGAACGATGCTTGATATCAACAAGATGTTTTCTTGATTTTGATTAAGATCGAGGACGATCATTCTCCGAAGGGGGGTCGTGTCCGAGAGTAGGTCGCGGAAACAAGTCCTAATGTGTTTACCAACAGACCTAGTTAGCTATTGAGTCCACGAGTCAACATCTGATAGACACGTGATAGATCACGCGATCAAGACCTCAGTAGTGGGCGGAAGCGAACGTTATAAAAGGTCTAGCAACCTTAAGCAGAGCCCCCAGTAGCTGATGAGCACTCCGCGATGTAGCGTGTCGGTAGAGTTCTCCGACCTTACGGTCGATGCCGTAGCTTATAACTCTGTATCGCAACTCTGTATAACCACCCCGTATACAAGATACGTTATCTGGACTTATGTGTCTTACTTATCCCTCACTACCTTAGTCAACGAAACCCGATCCTCAGGTAGAGCTTAATATAATGAGTTCAATATCATAGTTTGTAGTTAATTTACAACCTGTGACAATATAAATGAGGTTTAGAGGCTTTACGAAAAGACTAATATACCAATATATATTATTTAATATACTATAGATATTGAAAACATAGATATGAATAAGTAGATAAGGCAATATTTTGAATAGTAGATCATAGAAAAATTTTTTGTCCTACGGCCAATTTTGATGAATAACAATATGACGTTGTCAGAATTTTGTGTTCTGAAAGTCCTGTTCCAATTTTATAGCACGGCCAGTTTAACCCTCTTAACCTGACACTAATCACCCGCAACCCTCGCGGTAACGTCGAGCTAACCTTGCAGGTTATAATTCCGACTTCAAGTTAACAAAAATTATAATTATAGGGCATTCTTCAATATTAACTACTAATATTTGGAAGTAGTAATTGTAATGATAATGAAAAGTAATACTATTTATTATAATTATTAATGTGCTGAATGTGTAATGTGGTGTACGGTGTATTGACGTGTTTTAATGCTGTAACTGTGCGGGTATCAACAAACATCTACACTAGGACCACTTTCAGCCTCTACACGAAAATATTATATCTAATCCAAAATTTTACCTCTAATCAAAAATTTTGCTCTCTAATCTCAAAATTTTTTCGTCAAAACCGAATTTTCCCACTCTAATCCGAAATTATTGCTTATGATCCAAAATTTTACCCTCTAATCTAAAATTTTCATTCGAATCCGAAATTTTGCCCTCTAATCCTCAAAATTTTCTCTTTTTATCATAAAATTTCCTTAGAACCAGCTTAGCCAGCTACTCTTTAGCGTTTTGATACGAGGCCAGTAGCACGGTAAATATACGAGGCCAGTAGCACGGTAAATATACGAGGCCAGTAGCACGGCAATATACGAGGCCAGTAGCACAATAAATATACGAGACCTGTAGCACGGTAAATATTCGAGGCAAGTAGCACGATAAGTAATGACCAAGTATTTAATATTTGTAGTGGCCACCAATATATTCAACGCAACTGTCTTTCATAACTTCAACGCTAGACTCGTTATTATACTCGGATGACGTTCTCCTACACTCGACTGGTGAGTCATACCCTACTTGAACTTTTATGTTATTTTTGTTGCATCTTATATTTTGGAATAAGTAATTCTATGTGAAATACGCAGTTTTTGCCTGTTTTCCTCATCTGTTAATCATTTCCCGGGTCCGTTTTTGCAGGTTGGAACTATATATTGCAGGTCGGCAAAAACTTTCCTCCTGTAAGCTCTATTCATGTAAGTAGCACCAATACTCCAGCCATTATTCATTCGTCGTCGTCGTATTGTATTTTTGATTCATTAACTACCAAGATTAATCATTATTCATGTTTGATTATTCCGTTAACTTCTTTGCAAATGAATTCTATAGTATGAATTCTTGAATTTTTTTCTGCAGCCACTCCGAATGCTAGCGAACCGTAACCCTTAAGAACAAGATAACTCAAGTATAATGTTTTTTGATACTAGTTCTTATCTTTATTTTATATTCTCGGACCGCTAATATATCAGTAGTTTTCTCGAAAATATTGACATTTGTGAGTCCAAGTACGAACCAATGCACATGTTGCGTTCACAACACTCGCCTAGAATAGCTATTGTCATGAGAATATACCTGACCTTGTCGTGTAATCAGTGAATCTGTGAGAAATGCCAACCTGCTGTGCACGATATAAATACGGTAACTTATAGATCAACGCACTGCATACTTGATGGTATTTCTCCTGAAAATACTTTCCCTTCAAGAGGCTTAATAAACTTGTTGACTTTCGTTTGTATTTATATTTACAAAAGGTTTCATTCAGAGTTATATAACCCTATATAGGACCACCCGGATGTTTCCGTCGACGATCATCTGCTTGCTACTGCTCTTCATCGGTGAGTGTCTTCTGCATAGGAATTAGAACAACCAGGAATTAGAACTGTCGGCTTTTTCTAATTAGTGCCAGCTTATGTTAGTGTCTGCTTATTATTATTAAGAGTGTAGTCAAGTGGCAGCAAAATAATTTGTCGAATCGTGACATTAATAAAGGCAGTGAAAATCATTCAGCAACTCTGGCTGATTTAACAAAAAATTTCACAATGTTTTATACTTTTTTTCAAATTAGTACGATGTCAAGTGCACAATTTTGATTGAAAATCTGTCACACCTGACCATCATGGATTTTGGTTAAATTTTACACATTAATTGGATCCTGTTTAAAACCAACTCTGAAAAAACTTCAGCTCAAAATATGTAAAACTTTATATGATCGCGCGGCGCCAAATCTCCAACTTCAGGTCACTTCTGTGGCATGTCTGTGCTGGCCTCGAGTGAGGTGGCCGCAGGACTTGAAGAAGTGCTTCTAAAAAAATTCTCAATAGTTTATTGTTGTTTTTTTGGGTAGAATGAGGTCAAACTTGCCCGAAAATCAAAAGTATAGAAAAATTAACAAGTTCAGTGCCCTGAATATCACAGGAAAATATATAAATCTTCATGATATCGGTACAGTCTATTGCCAACATACGTAACATTTTATACAAAAATACCGATAATTCACTTGATTTTTTTTCAGTAATAATCATCTAAAATTAAAACAAAAATTAAAAAAAAAGTTAAAGAGAAGTGTTGTAAAAATGCTCATAAAAGAAAAACGACGATGAAAATGAAAAATCGGGGCTTTAGAGCCGCTGAATAATTTCGTTACGAATCGAATGATATGTGTCTCGATTGGTAGCTTGTGATTTGCAAAAGTTATTAACTTCTTTAAAGTACCCCTTTATTGCCGTTTCTTATTAATTTCACGTCTTTTTTACTTTTTTCAAAAAAATTCATTCAAACAAAATTTTTTTTATCTTACATATTACATATGTGCGTAAAATTTACATGTGTGTGTGAAAAATTTCCCGGACCGAAATGGTCCCCTTAACAGTATTTTTGAACACAAACTTTAGTAAGTTCTGCTTAACTAATTTGGTTGAAACAGTTTAGTTAGAGACAGAAAATTTTGTACTATAACATATACCTGTATGTTAATCCTAGCCATGGTGTTCTTCTTGCTAAGGAAGAAAACTTAGTTTAAAAATGCTGCATTTGGCTCATTATTGCACCACATTGGATAATCGAGAAATTCTTTTAAATCAGATTCTTCATTGCAAAAGGCAGTAGAATACTTTGTTTAGATACCTATGCAGGTGACAGCTCAGCTAGTTAGTGGCGAAACGTACATGAATTTGCTGCTTTCTTTTTCGCTATATAGTTTTTCAGTTTTGAAATGCCATACTTTTTTCAAGAGGCTTTCTCTAATTTTTTGAAAGTCGACTCATTTGTTTTCATACATCCTTATTTGTTGGAAATTTCCAAGTTTATTAATGCTTATTCGCATTTACGTAATATAATGCAGATTTGAGTCGTTTATGTCATCCAGGTGAATAAGCGCGTGTCAAAAATGAAAAGCTGCCACAGGAAGCAACATAGTCTACAGGAATGAAGAAGAATGGATTTTAATACAATTATTACCATAGCTAAAATTACTTATTATTTTTGTAAATTATTATTATTATTATTTATTACCCATAGCTAGAATTAGCGTTTGTTCTACAGAATTTTCTCTTTGTAATAAATGCTGTTTCAACAAAATTGGTATACTGCAACTATTCAAATATTGTCGAAAAATGGCTCCGAGGCTTCTATTAGCAATTTTACATAATTATTACTGAAAAATCAAAATGAATTACGGTCTTTCTTGTGTATTCAATGTTTCGCATGTTGGCAATCGACTGTACAATTATCGTGGAAATTTATACATTTTCTTGTGATTCACAGGGCACTGAACTTGTTGATTTTTTCTGCACTGTTGATTTTCGGGCAAGTTTGACCTTATTCTAGCAAAAAAGTATCAACAATAAACTATCGAGAAAATTTTTTATTATACGCACCTCCTCAAGTCCTTTCGGCACCTCAATTTTCAAATCAGGAGCCAGCATAGACATGCCACAGCAGTGACCTGAAGTTGGAGAATTTGCGCCGCATGATCGGGGACATTTTCACCACCCTTCCTTTGTGGGCCCATAATTTTAAACTTTTTCGTATTTTCAGCTGAAAATTTGGCCTATTCGGGTTGAAATATGTACTAAAATATGTGTGATCCTTTGTCAAAATGGTCAGGTGGGTACTCATTGTTCACTTGACATGGAATGGCCCAAAGCCCTCATTGGTTGTCCTTTGATCCTATTGTTGAAGTTTTAGTATAATTCACGCGCCTAAGCATGACAAATTGTTTGTATTATCAAATTCGAATTCTCATATGGCAGGCGCTGTCGCAGCCAACTGTCCAGAAGCCTATGAGGTCGTCGGGTCCAAGTGCATCCACCGTTACACGGGTGGACATCTGACGTACGACGAAGCGGCCACTTACTGCACCCAGCACTTCGGCAGGCTGCCTGTGCTTAAAGACTGTGCTTCCTTCACTGATGTCGCCACCTATGTTAACGATGGATGTAAGGTTATAACAGAAAAACATTTAAAATCAATTAACTTGCATAGTTAAAAAATTTGCTTTCAAAATGTTTGTCATCTATGAGACATTGTAAGTCGACCCTCATAAGTTAGGAGTCAATTTTAGCAAAAAAGTCTCTTCCTATGCATCGACTTGATATTTAGTGATACCGGAATTTCAGCGAACACAATTCATCTGTCACATGACTTCTGATTAATTTTCTTGCAATATCATTATGACTATATTATCATTAGACAAACACTGTGCATGCCTCTACGCTGATTTTTGAAAACTTGGTAAGTCGGCATGCCCTGTCAGCCGCGGGTGGAAGAATTTGATTCTACACTAATGTTCTACTGCAGTACTTATTCACTCACAATTGGCCCTGTGCACAACACACAGCTTCTGTGTGATAGCCGAAAATGTCAGGTGGCCGTACCACTCGGCTTGCGGTGACCGAGCAGCTGCTACCCTAACCAAATTCAGAGGCGTGGCAGCTTCTGATACGTGGAATCATAAGCTGAGGCGGACCTAAATTTTAACAGGGTAGGGGTGCAAAAGCTGCGCAACTCGAGGAGGTGGCCAGGTAGTTAAGAAACGGCGACAGGACAACAGGCTCTAATCAACGCTAAAAGCTCTATATTAATTAATATTATTATTACATAATAATATTTCTATTACTATTAACGTTTCACTCCATCAGACGCAATTGATTTGAACAACGGCTACTGGTTAGGCGCGACCAATGGAACGCTCACCAATGTTTGGCAGTGGAGTGACGGAGCGGCCGTGCAAATGAACGCTCCGTACTGGGCGATGGTGAGTCAATCCATGTTTTTTCTGTAAATGACACAACATATTTGCTCTATGGAAGAATATTTTCTATGAAATTTTAAATGGATGAAGCTCAACTAAGTTACGACTAGATGCAAAAGAATTGAACAATTTAATATGCCAAACAGTATTATAATATTGGGGTGAACTTACTTAGAATTAACTGAAAACAGAAGGCAAAGTTCAGAGTGTCTCTTAAAAAAAGTCACTTTTAATTCTCCTGTTAGAAATAACATTGATTTGCAGTCTTAAATCTATGAAGATTTAGTAGACAAATCGTTATTCTCACTCATCTTATGTTTGTGTTTGATTCGACCTACCCAAATAAAAATTATTTGTGGAGTATCGATGATTATAATTGGTGGCTATTGGTGGAAATTATAGGTGGGAGCACCGATGGCGCACCGATGGCATGTCCGGCCTATGTTCCTTCTATATCCTGCTGATCACGACCTTAACATATAAACCCTTATTCTACAAATAACTTACCCACTGGCGCCGATGGCGAATCGATGAGCCATCAATGACTACCTCTCGAATTAGGTCGATAAAATTTTTCCGTTAGTTTTAAATCAAATGCTTGTGCATTCTCACATTGCTCGACATTCCTTCCAAATACGATCAAACATTTTGAGGATTATGTATGCACATCAAGCATGGCGGCACAGCAACAATGTCGGAAATGTAGCAGGAACAAATAATCAGTGCCATGTACAAAACTCGTGAGAAATCGACATGAAGAAAAGTCCCTGCCTAAGTCTGCTCGGATCGATCTCAAGTCTCTCGCACGCATAACCAAGCCTCTACCGCTGAGACATCGGAGATTCGTGGAGGACTTACCAAACGAATCATGTTGAGGGATTTAACTGAAGTATTACAGTTTTAATTTTATCAATTATTAATAAAAAAATCCACTACTATGCTGATAAAATGGTTCCATTAACCACTGTTTACTCGAACACGTTATTATGTTCCTCAAAATGGCAGCTGAAAGAAATTCCTTTTATTATCTATTTAAGTTTATTTATTTGAAAATTATATCATTTTCCAAAAAGGGAAATTTAGAAAGATTTTCAACGGAAATATTTTTGTGGAAAATAAAGAATGTTTAGAGGATAAAATTGACATCATTCGGCTTTGAAATGTCAGGGGTGAAATTCTTTCAACAATCCGAGCCGATATTTTTTATCTACCCTAATATATGGATAACCTGTCACGTAGGAATGATGCTGAGACCACATTATTATATAAGTAAACTTTAAATCAAAATAATTATGTGACAAGAAAAGCAAATTTCTCATAAATAGATAAATTACCATATCAATGTCGGGCCGTAGAGAACTGCTTTGTATCTTCCAGCGTAAAGAGAACATTTTTTTTCCAAAAACGACAGAGTTTTTGACTAGCAATCTAACAATAACACATTTTACAGGCAAGGCGTAGCAAGGATCGTTTCGCCCCATATAATGTAGCATGCCTACCTATAACCATAGGTGCACCACCCTTAATTATTATTTGGGTAGCAGGGAATCTTTACTGCTTGATGACATTCAGTAGTTAGCGCTAGAAATATTTCAGCTGACCTACTTATTGCATTGAGTGATACATGTGATACAATTGATCGAAAAACTTACAACCGCTCCCTCTAGTTAGATATGTTCCTCAGGATTCTGGATATGATTGGACAACAGAACCTTCGGGCGGAACGCGTCAGAACTGTGCTTATATAAGGGGTGACATGGGCTGGTTATTTCGAGATGCCGGGTGTACAGGCATTGAATATCCACTGTGCTCAAGACCGTCAGTAGATGGTGAGTTACTCTTCTATTTTGAAGCCTTGGAAGGTAACCTGAACAGAAAAGTGGGGAGAGTAAACACTTTGTGGAGGAAAAGGTTCTAAAATTTTGATTATTTTATGCATTCAACTGCCAAATTAATCCCCTCGAAATAATTCTACAAGCTAACTGCAGAATTAATTACAAAATTGTTATAAGTTTGTACGTAACTTTGAATTGACTATTTAATTTTCAGGAGTTAGCTCTCAATATTAGGTTGATATCTTAAAAAATTTACGGCAAAGTGAAGCAATTCAATAGATGTTGCAAGATTATCAAAAAGAACAAGGAAAAGTAACCATAATGAAGAAGAGCTAAAAAACGTACAGCCTTCCAGCTTAATAAAGAATATTAGGTGAGGGGCAACAAGCAATATGCATTATGGAATCTCTGTGCAGTCAGCGTGTTTACTTCTGGATTTTTATCATTTTATCTTGCTTGATTTCATACTGATGTTATTGCGACATGGCACCTATTGAACTTGAAGCTTGCATCAGTAAATATTTACTGTCATCCGGCACAGCTTGTACCTGAGGCTTCCATGAACATTGCTTGTTGTACATAGAACGCTTACGTTTATAGTTGCATGGCAATATCTATAGTTCTGATAATAAACTCTGCAGTTAAGCAGGATGTAAGGTCATGAAATAAATTTGGTTAAGTCAGATTAAACGCACGAATGGCCGGACCCTAGGCTAAGCAGAGCCATTCTCTTATGCAATGGCTTCCTGAGCATATATAATATCCAGCTTCCAAGATATAATTTAATCTAATATCGTTCAATCATTCCACACTTAATATCATGGATATGAATCCTACTGCAGGTCTCTGCCAGCATCCTTTTGTTTTGGTTGGCACTCAATGTATTCACATAATTTCAACCGGATACTACTGGCACGAGGCTCGTACTCAGTGTGAACTGGTCGGTGGGAATCTGATTGTTGTAGACGACTGCGATCAGTACCACAAGGTTGTCCTCTACCTCGCTGAACAAGGTAACCGTTTGAAAAGTTCTATATAATCTTTCAAAACAAACATTGCCTATCAAACCCTAATGAATTTTGTACTTTTAAATTTAATTAAGATAACTAAGACCAGATCTGCGAGGTTGAGGTTTCATACGCGAGTGATGATACCATGATTAATTTCAATTTACTCCCACCAGCCTAACGCCTTCAAAAATTGGTTAACTCTGTAGAACTCCCCATTATCAATTTATTGACATTTATATCGTGAGTGTCAGGGAAACAGCAGCGGTTTTATTCAGAATAATATTTCGAAACTTACTTCCTTATCCCCTAGATTTTTTACCTCTTTTCTGGATAAGGATACAGTAGCTGTTGGCTCGGAGGCTCAGATGAGGCCGAGGAAGGGCAATGGCGCTGGATTGATGGTTCGCTGATGACCATGGGACTGCCTTACTGGTCAACTGTAAGCATACTGACTCATATATATTTGAAAGAAGTGCACGAATAAAACTGAGCAGCAAACTCAGAAATGAGTAATCATATCAGATTTTGAAAACAATGGAAATTAAATGTTATCTATCGAAGCTGAATGTCGGTGATGTAATCATTACAGGATAGTGGTATTGTCAAGTAGTTTACCTAGCGTAATTCTGGGCATTAAATTCACCTCTCAGATTCAAATGCAAAAGTAATATGTCATAATGAATCATATGAAAATGAAATTAGTTCATCTCGAGGTCGAGAATTAACTGCAAAGATAATTTGCTGTTCTCCATGGACAAGATTTCGCGAATTTCTTTAGCTTGTTCAAGCAACTACAAGCCAAACTTATTTCCTAACAACAGTTTATTTCATGGAAAATCTCTTCGGTTCTTAGTTGCCATAGAAAAAGTGGGTTCTGCACTGCATGACTTGATTTCATGATTTGATTTGCTCAACTTACTAATTTTTGACTGAGACACTTATATTTTTATACACGTATAAACTTAATATCAAAAGTTACTTTTCTCGACTGTAGATATCTGAAATCAATTGACTATGAAGCATACTTTTTACTGTGAATTATGTCTCCAGTCAAATAAGTTCTGGGAATTAGATCAGTGAGGTTAACTGAAGTAAATGGATTTTAATTAAAATTTTCAATCGATGTATTTAACGATTTAATCGCAAACTTATAACAAAACCAAATTTTGGCAGATTTCAGTTAGAAATGTATTAAAAAGTACGGTATGTATAAAATATGAAAACCTGGGATAGAATAAATTCATTTTAGGAACACAAAACTTTGAAGAATCCATGATCATGTAATTTAAACAATATATATCTGCCTTTCTGATGCAAATGATGTAACAATCAACACCCTGGGTGATTGTTGAAACAATCATCCAGGGTGATTGTTACATTGATGTAACAACAACAATAGAAGATGTTTGCTTTATTCTTGCGCAGGCTGCAAGTGCGGAGCAAGAACCCAACAATCCTGGACAGCAGAACTGCCTAGAGCTAAATTGCGCGCATATGTATCGCTTCAGCAGCGCGTGGTGCACTGATTTGCGCCGGGTGGTCTGTGAGGCAGACCCCATCTAGAGGAGTGCTGTTCATGCCTTATCTGGAGGAGTGCTGTTCATGTCTCATCTAGAGGAGTGCTGTTCATGTCTCACCTAGAGGAGTGCTGTTCATATCTCATCTAGAGGAGTGCTGTTCATGTCCATCTAGAGGAGTGCTGTTCATGCCCCATCTAGAGGAGTGCTGTTCATGTCTCATCTGGAGGGGTGCTGTTCATGTCCATCTAGAGGAGTGCTGTTCATGCCCCATCTAGAGGAGTGCTGTTCATGTCTCATCTGGAGGAGTGCTGTTCATGCCACACCTAGAGGAGTGCTGTTCATGTCTCATCTGGAGGAGTGTGGTTCATGCCTCATCTGGAGGAGTGCTGTTCATGCCACACGTAGAGGAGTGCTGTACATGTCTCATCTGGAGGAGTGCTGTTCAGGTCACACCTAGAGGAGTGCTGTTCAAGCTTGATCTAGAGGAGTGCAGCGTTTGCCCCATCTTGAGTGTTTTTATGTTCTATATAGAGGATTCTTTTAAATGTTCAATCAAGGACGTCATAAATTCTGTCGTTTGGCCCATCTGCAGGGTGCTTTTGTTATATTATTTTTTTTTCATAGGATAAAAGGGCTAGGGTTAGATAATCTTCGAGATTTTTGAATCATTTTCCTAATTCGTAAATTTTACAAATTATTATTGATGCGGATCCTTCAAACCCACTTTTTAGATAGAAGTCATGATTTTGTCATGGTATCTAATGCAAAGGAAATTTTTTTACGAAATTCTTGCACAAAAATTAGAAATAATAACATCAGGTCCTTCAGCCATGATCCGTTTCAAGAAAACTACGGCCAGACTGATCGTGAAACATCTACATATATCAGTGAGACACGACGGTTATGAAGAACAGCGACCGCGGGGACGCGCGGCTACAGCTGCGGTACGGCCACTTGCAATACGGCTGCAAACGCGCGCGTGAGGTACGGTCGTTGCGGGAGTCGTACCATTTTACGAGAGCATTCTACGGTTCGACGTTTTCTTGTAAAAGTAGAAGATTTTAGTGATGTTAACTGATAGGTTCTCAATTTTGAATGGGTTCGGACTTTCTTTTTCTTGTACTAGAGATTTTTGTTAACGTAGGATGTGAACTTGAATTTCCCAATTAAATATGAAATGTACCAGTGTTTCATTGCAACCCTCTCTTTGTACGATTCAATGCAACCCTTTGACCGCAACAGGCGGCGCAGGTTAGGTTAGGTTAGGTTACGTTAGGAGTAGCTGTTGCGGTATGGCCTGTTGCGCCCCGGCCAGTTGTGCTCCGGCCCTTTATGCGCTCCAGCCTGTGACTGAACGGCGCTGTTGTGGTGGGCGCTCTGTGTCGAAAGCCGTGAAGATGCCCGGCTGCTTTACGCTCGGGAAGGTATATAAATCGCCCTGTGGACTTGGGCTATGCTGACCTCTAGCTATCCACTCGTGATAAAGAGCGAACTACATCGGCATGAAGGAAAAGCGAAATATTTCGGGTGAAAATCAATTGTGATGTAAAATTTCACAGGTTGTTATGTTTTTGCTCTGATCCTGTAATTGGATGAATCTGATTGGCATTTGAAATTTCCCGATCTGAAATCTACGGGCTAAATCACAAATTCTTTTTTATTTCATTAATTAATTAGATTAGATAATTAATTTGTATGTAGGGAACTTATGGTGTTCAAAGCCATTGCATATGTAAAAGACTTTCTTGTTGCCTAGTCCTTTGGGAACGTTTGCTGAACTATTCAAAGACGCGCCATCATGGCCGGATAAAGAACGAGTATTCCATGATGTGCGGTTTCTAGAAAGAAAATTACCAAAAATGAATAAGACAAATATACAAAGAACGATTCATAACTTATACAAGAAATGCCAATGTATGAACCAAGATAAATCGATAACATGAAACGGTGTAATCAATATTTCAAATAATCAACAAATCTAACTGACCGAATAGCTTTGTTCCTCGGTTAATATACAGGCACCTAGGGTCAAACATTGAATGCTCTGACGCATCAGAAATAAACTACGTCTAGTAGACTAATTCTACTTCTGCAAATTTCAGGGAAATGGAAAATGGCCGCTACAGCCTATTTTGACGCTCGTCGACTCTTTTTCTCCTGTGCTCAGATTAACTTAGTTTATTTAGTTAGATTTGTGTGATTGGCATTCTTATAGATTGTTGATCTCGTTTATCATCATTAAATATAAATGTTTAAAAGGGGTCAATTATTTAAACCTCGCATGACAGTCACATTGACTGATGCATGTTCTGCCATCTGGAGCATTTTTGTATTTTAAGAGAACAGACTATGAACATGAGAAGGTAAGAAGTAAATTAAATCGTTATTTATTTTCCTTCCACGGGTGTCAGGGATAGACTCCGGTGACATTTATTGATTTTCGGAAACGGAAATGACATTAAATCACATTGTAGAGGAGAGAAATGCAACTTTTATAAATGTCTTTTACATTGATATTTTTCTAATAAAATGGCTTTAGACTTCCGTGCGATGTTGCCGGATCCGCTCTGTATTGCGGAATAGTAGCAGCTCTATTTAGGATCACTCGATCTGCGCCACCATACGGGACAGGTGTGTACTGTGCACGGGATAATTTGATATTTTTAGAATAGGACCAATATTGTGTGCTTCAATGTGACTTGGAATAGATTGGTGTCATGCCAATATAGGTGTGAAAATGTCTTCTTAGTTTTTATGATAAAGTTTTAGACATGACCCATTGTGTACATACAGAGATACCTCAAAATCGTGATCCGAAGTTTTGACTTCGCTTCAACTCACAACGCTCTGTTTATCTTGTCATTGTTGAATGAAAGTTTTGCATTTGATTGTCCTTATTCTCCTGTCGGTTAGTGTGCTGATGTGCAAGAAGTGTGACGAGCAGCGGTTGGGTTATTGCGGATAGGATAAAGTCTCACGTTGCGCGTAACAACATACTTTTGCGAATTTAGATGTTATTTCCCTTTATAAATACTTATATCATTAAACTGCTTAAATCGCAGGTCCACCATGAATTTAAAATCAAAGAAAATACCAAGTGAAATCACCATAACTTCAATAAACTCGTTTCGGATCACCAGCTCCATCATCAGTTCAAAAATTCCCATAGACTACAAGTGCAATAATCAGCGATAAACTGAATATAAACTTACAGATTAAACCAAAGTATCGAGAAAATGACAACGCAGCAAAAAATCTATCGATGTACAATTTCTAGAGGATAAGAACTGTGCGCATTATTAAGAAAAGCTTTCCGTCTAAGTATCTGCAACTACTTCAAAAGTGGTTTGTCCCGATGCATGTTCTGGGTTGAAATGTTGTTCCTGATGACGACGGCGCTTATTTTCTGCGGTGCTTATTTTCTGCTTCAAGATGGAATATAATAAATTATATGACAAAGAAAACTGCAATAATAATATATAATATAAATTCTGCTTAATATATTCAAATATGATGCATTGAAGTAATGGAATCGAAGAATGAAAGGCAGTTTAAATTCATTTTCGTTTGAGCGTAAAACTTGCAAGCCTTAAATCTTTGTCATTCATATTAATATTTTTATAAATGAATTTGATTATAAGTACTGTTTACAATTTATGTCTGATCGTTGGATACGATATGATGTATTGTACCTTCAGTTAATCAAGTTGATAACAATCAATGATTTTATACATTTATTAATTCTATGGGTAACTCCAAAGATGAATATTAGCAGTTATGACTTATCCTGCAGAAATGCCATGCTCTTTTCATGTCTTGCAATACAGTGCCACGAAGATGATGTTGCTGAGGAAATATAATCCTTTTTGAACGATGGAACGTCATGAAAAGTCAAGATATCTTCAAATGTTGATGTACAGCCAGCTAAATATTATTATTTTGCGAATGCTTTTTACAAATGTTGATGTACAGCCAGCAACACATAATTCTCTTGTGAATGGTTCTTATAAATGTTGATGTACAGCCAGCAACACATTATTCTCTTGTGCTTGGTTCTTAAAATTCCTCCAGTATTTAACAGCCACGTGCAGTCATGAGCTTCCTAAAAACAGGATGAATGATGTCCTCTTCTGCGAATGCAAAAATTTTTTCAAAAGAACGCAAAATTTCTAAATTTAAATGAAGGGCTGATGTGTCAATAATTTTTATGGTAAAATTTATTTTCTAATTAAAGTAAATTAACGGTCTATACATCAGAAGAGGATTGAAGACATGCTGCAACCAGTGCAAAGACGAAAAGGTGAACGCATTTAATTTGACCAGGAACGAACTATAGATGCCTGGTGAGAGTGAGCATCACCAGACATCTTTTAGGTGCCTGGTGAGAGTATTTAAATGCCTTTTGAGAGCTTTTAGATGTCTGGTTTGAGAATTTATATTTCTATCGAGAGCATTTGAACGACAATAAACGACAAACGAACGACAATTGCTCTTTAGTCACCCTCTATAGAGACGTTGCTGAACAATAAACGACTAAATCAATTGCTCTCTAGTCATACTCAAAAGTGACGTTGTTGAACAATAAACGACTAAAACGATTGCTCTTTAGTCACCCTCTAAAGTGATGTCACCGATTAACAAACGATAAAAATTACTGATCTTTAGTGACAAACTCATGTGCAATGCTAGTCGCATCATTTATCTGTCATTTATCATTTATTGTATGCACGTAAGAATGCATACGAAATAAATGGAATTATTTAACGGCAATCTATTGTATTTTTAACTCATTGATTATGTCACTGATGCGTTGAACCTTAACTTATATGGCTTGAAAAACGTATAGGGGTTCAAAAATACATCAATTTCGGTACATTAAACATTTATTTGAGTTAAATAAACATATAGATGGTGTGAATACATATATGAATGTGTTGAAGAACGCACAGTTGCGTTGTATATAGTGGCAGCCACTACAAATATTAAATAGTTACGCACTACTTACCGTGCTACTGGCCTCGTATGAAGGCGATAAAGAGTAGCGGGTGAGTCTGGCTCTGAGGAA